GGAGCCAGTGTAAGAAGAATATTACCAATAAGTCAGCTTCAGGAAACCAGTAGTGGTTGATGTTGAGGAATACAAACCAACTTCCATCATTAAAGTCCCAACCACTAGGTGTAAAATGCCAAGCACACACATAGTGTCTACGTGACAGGAAAGCTGGATGGCCAAAAGTGCAACTTTGTTACAGATACTGCATCTCAGCAAACCCTTGTGAGTATCAAGGTGCTGGATCACAAAGGAGTACCAGAAGCCATACAGAAGCTCTGTGGTGTGACAGGACATTCTACAAGATTGTGGGAACCAGTGTGGGTAGCTATGAGCTCATGGGCATAAAGGACAGACAGAAAGTATACTTGGCCGAATTTGAAGACGAATGCATATTAGGATTGGACTGTCTACTACCAAGGAAGTTTGTAATTGATTTTGATAAAATGACGTTTGGGAATAACAAAGGCCAAATTCCGGTAAGTGTTAAAAGAGAGGTTGAGCTAGCCAGGTGTCATCAAGCTGAAGTCAAAGTGACTGAAGGAGTTGATGATGGTGAAGTGGAACCAGGTATATATATTAAAGCAGAGCAGGAGATCGAACAAGATTTGAAGCCAATAATTGATTTTCTAAAAGCAAGTGTTTTGCACCTTACTTGGGAGAAGGTGTCTAGCTTAAGCCCTGTGACAAAGAACTATTGGGCACAATGGGACCAGTTGAAGCTTGATGATGATATTCTTCTCTGGAGATGGGAAACTGCAGAAGGAAAAGTGACGACCTGGCAAACAGTTAAACTGAGAAAGTTATGGGAAGTTGTGATGCATCAATCCCATGATACTTTAACAGGAGGTCATCTCGGAATTAAGAAGACATTGAGTCACCTACGACAGAGAATTTACTGGATAGGAATAAGGCAAGATGTGGAAGAATGGTGCAGAACATGCAGTACATGTTGTGCTAAAAGGGGACCCAAACATAAGGAACGTGCCCCAATGAAGTTATATCAAGGTGATGCACCAATGGAAAGAGTAGCCATTGACATTGCTGGTCCTTTGCCCCTAACTCGTGCTGGAAACAGGTACATTTGTGTGGTGATGGATTATTTTACCAAGTGGCCTGAGGCATATGCAATACCAAATCAGGAGGCTACAACTGTAGCTTCGGCTATTAGTGATTCTTTCTTCAGATTTCGTATGCCATATGAGCTGCATTCGGATCATGGCCGTAACTTTGAATCAGCTGTGTTCCATGAATGCTGCAAATTGTTTGGCATCCGAAAAACCAGGACAATGCCACTTCACCCACAGTCTGATGGGATGGTAGAAAAGTACAATTGGACACTTGGACAAGAATTTTGTAATAGACACCAAGATGACTGGGATGTTTTACTCCCTCCACTGTTGATGGCCTATAGAACAGCAGAGCATGAAACCACTGGATACACTCCAGCAAAGTTGATGTTTGGTCAGGAACTTCGGTTGCCAGTGGATCTGTTAACAGGACGCCCAACTATAGAAGCTCCACTACATGATTTGACCAAAAAAGGCCAGTAGTTTGAATGGACAGTTTCTTGCAAGCATGCTTTCAAGACATTGAAAGAGAAATTGGCCTCAGCTCCACTTTTAAAGCTGCCAAAACCATCACTGCCATACATACTGGATTGTGATGCTAGTAATATCCCAATTGGAGGAGTGTTGTCTCAGAAAGTGGGCGAAAACGAACATTTGGTGGCCTACTTCAGTAGGGTCCTGAGTAGACCAGAGAGGAACTACCGTGTAAGATGGAGGAAACTCCATGCTATAGTAAAGAGTCTGACATATTTCCATCCTTACCTCTTCGGGGCTAGGTTTACCATCAGGACAGACCATGCTGCCTTACGATGGTTAAGAACATTAAACACCCCAGAGGGACAACTGGCACATTGGATTGGAAAAATAGACTAGTATGATTATGATATTGAATACAGAGAAGGAAAATCTCATAGAAATGCCGATGGACTGGGATGTCTTACTCCCTCCCCTGTTGATGGCCTATAGAACAGCAGAGCATGAAACCACTGGATACACTCCAGCAAAGTTGATGTTTGGTCGGGAACTTCAGTTGCCAGTGGATCTGATAACAGGACGCTCACCTTACGAAGAGTTGCCTGAAAATATGTCAGAGTTCGTGAAAGTGTTATTGGAAAGGATGGATGAGATCCACCATCAAGTGCATTCAAACTTGAAAACGTCTGCTGATTCGATGAAGCTATCTTATGATAAGAAGTCTACTGAAGTCAGCTTTGTACCAGGAGACAGGGTGTGGTTGTATAATCTCAGGGAGACCAAAGGGAAGTCTCCTAAGTTGTCTTCTCCATGGGAAGGCCCATATGACATGATGGATCGTCTCTCAAATGTGACTTTCAGAATAAAATGTTTTTGGTGATGTAAGCCAAAGGTGGTGCATGCCAACAGGCTTTAGCATTATCATGATCCAGGACATTTCAGTTGGGATGAAGTGAACAACGGAGCAAAAGACGCATCACCTGGAAAAGCCACTGTCGAAGAAGAAACTTTACTCGGTTTTGAGAAGGGAAACAGTGAAGCCCTTCATGAAGTTACCACTACTGATTTGACTATTACCGATAATAAGACATTTCTTCATGGAGCAGATGAACTTTACGTGAAGTAGAAGCCAACAAGATGGAGACCAGTACAGAAGAAGATATGTTCCGTAAAATTAAGAGACTTTGTTGAATTTCAATATTGTTTTTGTAAATTATGTACATTTAATTAAATTATTGTTAATTATCTGTTGGTTTAATATAATTGGCTATTGTTCGGAATGAACTATACTAAGGACGGGGCAGTGTTATGTCACCGGAAGTCACGTGACAGTGGTAACACGTAATGAATATCTCGGAGGTTCGTGAATGCTCGAGTATTTGCTAGATGTGCTGTATTCTAATATATAAGCCCGACAATCAATCGTTACGGGGATAGCAGATAGAGGGATTGAAGATATAGATGGACAAGTGAGTCAAGCACGGTAGTAAGTAAAGTGCGTGAATCGTTCGTTGAGAATTATAGTGTGTGTTTAAGTGAAAGTGACTGTAGAAATTAAGTGTATTGCAAAGTTGAATTGAGAAAGGACTTGTATTGCCGAAGTTCTTCGGAAGTAATTTTTACGAGTAATTAACAAATGACCAGAGACGTAACAGTATTTATCAGTATTAGATGTACAATTTTAAAATGAGTACACCGGCAGTCACGACTATATGTACTATTTCAAACTATGTTTCTTTATAACGAACTATTCTTTTGATGATGTGAAAACACTCAAGATCTTTAAAATAATTAAGAAGCAAATACGAATATCATTTTTACTATTCTTGAGGCAACCAGAATGCCAGTTAGTTGCACCTATATCTTAGAATTTGACCCTGATTAGGAATAAACAAACACAGTTTGGCAATTTTCTAATATGTCTGACAGAAGTACATATAAACATGATTTGATGGATCAAGTGTTATTATCATGTTCATTTTTGTGATCTTTATGATGTTAATAATCATTATTTACCATTTCAGAACTGTTCAGAAGCAGAAGAATATCTGGAGAGGCTGATTAAAAAATTGGCTAGGGTAAATATTATAACGTGCATCATCAGCTTAAGTTAGGAGAAAACATCAAAATATTTAAATTAAAGAAAGCTCTTCTTTTAATTATATATGCACTATATCAAAATAGTGTGTCTCTAAAAATACCAAGTCTATTTATAGAAATGATAGTACTACGTTTTTGCCAGAGTATTCATGACAAATATAGGCAAAATGGGCAATGACTGCCTAGTTCAAAGTGACATTTGTATAGAAAGTTTAGGAGGAAGAACCTAAAAAAGTAGTTTTGGGATATGTAGATTAGTCCTCTAAGACTTTCTCTATAAGTGTCACTTCAAACTTGGTAATAGCTACCCATTTCATCTTTGTCTATCAAAAAACTGAGCTGTTTTAGCATTTTCTTATGTTTTTTTTTTCTGTACAGAGTTTTTCTGCTTAGAACTCTAATTTTATTTCTTTATCCTATTCCCAAATGTTTTCTGTCAGAATAATTTTCATATACCTGTTTTGGGCTTATTTTATAACTTCTTAATTTGTATGCTTTGCTTTATTTATTTTATTTAAAAAATATTCAAATTATCCTTGAAATGTACTTTAATGTGTACAGTTTAAAATTATTTTTTCAACATTTGAGTTCATTGTTGTATTTCTGCTATTTGTGAATAGTGTTATCTCTTAAAGTGAGCCACTTACAGTTATTATACTGGGGTGGTTTGACACAAAAGTTTCAATCTTTTTTATCTGTGATTTTATTTTATTTTATTGTTTATTTTTCTCAGCTTGAATACCTACATAGAACATATATGAACCACTACAACATGAAAAAAGGTAAGGTTTTTGTCTAAATTTTGAATCAAAAATTAATGTGCTATGCTTATATGAACAAAGTTCATGTGTGGAAATAAGAGTAAGCTAACTTTGGTCATTGACAGTGTTGTATTTAATGTCAGTGCAATTGTAGCAATGCACCGATTGGCTCCTCATATTGCAGGCCCCCAAAGTAATGCAAAAACACTTATAAATTTCTATACCTATAACTGATCAGTGTGGATGGGGCCCTAAGAAAATTGCAGAGAGTAGTTTGAAGTGTTAAAAATGACTCTGGTCATTGATAAAATAACTTGCTTCTTTCTTTTTTTACTGTTGCTTGAAATAAATCGTAACAAGAAGTGATGTGTTTAATCAGTATATATTTAGAAGTTCTTAGATGCAAGTTATTCAGAAGTCACATTTTTTAGTTTGGTGATGTAATGTTAAATTATCTAAAACTAAAATATACCAGTTGATAAATTTTCAAAGGTATGAGACTTACATATTGTAGAATGTTACATCTTTAGTTTGTGGCATTTATATATGTATATTATGAGATGGATTAATGAACTAACTTGCCACAGACACATCTACAGCTACTTGAATTTCTCAGTTTGAATTCATGGTGATATATGATTATTAACTTATTGGTTTCAAATGTTATAATAAGTGTACTTACTTCCAAAATAAAAATAAAATATTTTAAATCGTCTGATCATTAGAAAATAGTTACACACACACATGTTAAGGCAAGTTTTAAAATTGTATAATTTTTATTTATTTGTATTGCTTGGGGTCAAACATTTTACTGATTTCTGTGATTATTACTTTGGTTCTCATGTTCAGGTACTGAAGCTTTGGCCCATGCTTATATTCTTAACTCAGAAAGGGAAAAAAATCAAGCTTTAAATAATGTGCGATCAGGATATAAAGAATGTTCATTGATCCTTTCTAATATCGAATCTGAACTGGACTTCTTAATGGGAATTTTTCATTTTGAGATCAAAGGTAAATAACTATTAAGCTTGCAGATCAATGTATGCATTGTAGTATTGGAAATAAATCTATCTAATTATAAAAATCAAAGCTATGTCTTTTTATTTGCCAATCTAGAAAAAAAAAGTAAAATAATTTATTATTATTATTGTAGTTCTTTTCTCTATCATAACGCCTATATTTAATTATATTTATACTAGTGTTACATCTCTGGTCGTTA